CATATTTCTAAAGGTTGGCTTGACTCAGCAGGATGACTCTTCTGCTGTCTTGGTTCAGACCCAGTAACTGAGGTGGCTGCATTTAACCTAGAACTCAGTGAAGGTTGTCACATCCAGGATATGGCCTCTTTCTGTTAGGTAGGAAGTCAGAAATTAGCTTGTGTGTGTGTGTGTGAGTGTGTGTGTGTGTGTGTGTGTGACAAGGGCCTAAGGAACTGACATCTATAGTAGTACAGCATCCTCATTTCAAAGTCACCCCGATAACCTTTCAGATGCAGCCCAGTATCTGTACTTCAAAGTCCTGCCCAGATCCTGATGACCTTCCAGGGGGCAAGACCCATCCCCTTAAAAGCCCCAGCCTAAATGTGGACTACACACTCTCTCTCAGGTTCTGTCTGGAGAGGTGCCCATCCATTCTTATAGATGTCCCTACCCTAATAAACCTTGCTATTTTGCTTTCCACTGCTCTGTCTCACACCTGAATTCTTTCATGCTCAAAGACAAGGGCCCTTGCTTCTCCAGTAACATTTCCATTTTCCATATATGACAGTTTGTGTCAGCTGTTGATCAGAGTACCTTTATTCTCCTCCATGTGAATAATTCTTCTACATGTCACTTATTATTTTGTAGTCTAGGCCACCCTTCCTTGCATGGTGGTGAAAACATTTCAATAGAAGTTTTCAGTCCTCTTATGACTTACAGCTGAAACTGGTATGACGTCATTTCTTCATTGTATTGATCGAAACAAATCATGTGACCAGTCTATATTCAAGAGAGGGGAGGTACACAAACATGGAAGGAATCGCTGAAAATTTAGATTTGAGGTCATCTACAATACTCAAATATGAAGAAACAACAGGAAATTTTATGAATGGTCATGCAGTCTATCACTACAGAATCAAGAAACATTAGATAATTGAGGAAAGCTGCAATCATGAAAGAGAAACCTAAATACACAGAGTTAGATGTGACTTGGAAAACATTGGATAGGAAGAATAACATGTCAAAGAAACTAAGTTCAGAAGAAAAAAATAAAAGAACTCATTCATTTAAAAAAAATAATGTTATTTGTAAAAAGAGAAAAAATAGTTTGGGAAAGTAAAAGCAATGGTAGAAATAAAAAACAGCTTTGGAAATTTTAGATTGATAAGTTGAAATCTTTCAGGAGATAAAATATGCACAAAAAATAGAAAATAGTAGAGAAAAGATAAGAAAACAAGATCAGCCTGGGAAGTCCAAATTTTCAGAGATGCAAAGATAGGAAACAAAGGGAGGCAAATCACTGTGTAAACAATTCAAGAAAATTTCCCAGAACTAAAGGTCATGAGTTTTCAGACTTCAAAGTTCCCTCCTGACATCAAAATGGATCAAAATAGATCTAAACTAAGACATGCAATTGTGAAATTTCAAACATTTGGGAGAAAAGATAAGAGTCTGAAAGCTACTCAAGAGAAAACACATGGTCAAATAAAGAATTAAGAATCACAGTGTTTTTGGACTTAGCAATAGCACTACTGGGAGTTAGAAGACAAAGGATATCTGCTTTCAAATTCCAAGGTAAGCCGGCGCCGTGGCTCAATAGGCTAATCCTCCACCTTGCGGCGCCGGCACACCGGGTTCTAGTCCCGGTTGGGGCGCCGGATTCTGTCCCGGTTGCCCCTCTTCCAGGCCAGCTCTCTGCTATGGCCAGGGAGTGCAGTGGAGGATGGCCCAGGTGCTTGGGCGCTGCACCCCATGGGAGACCAGGAAAAGCACCTGGCTCCTGGCTCCTGCCAGGATCAGCGCGGTGCGCCGGCTGCAGCGGCGGCCATTGGAGGGTGAACCAGCGGCAAAAGGAAGACCTTTCTCTCTCTGTCTCTCTCTCTCACTGTCCACTCTGCCTGTCAAAAAAAAAAAAAAATTCCAAGGTAATAGATTCCCTATTCATAAACTCTAAGCTCAGTTAGCTATCTATGCCAACTAAAGGTATCTAACACTTTGTGTATGAAAACATTATCTTCCATTTGCCAAAATAAAGGGGTAAATCAAGAAAGGGCAAGATGTGCAAGCCAGGAAATAAGACATGGATTAGAAAAGAGAAAAAAGAGAGTTCCCAGGACAAAGGCTGTCTTAGAGGGCAGAGTCCAGATAAAAAAAAGATGATGTTCATTGGATGTATTTGAATAATTTGAGAAAACATTAATGCTTATAAAAGAGTTTGCATTTGAATTTTAAAAATGAGTACTTACAATGGCTCATCTATGAATAGCAGTTATATAAGGATAGAAATGTAACTATGAATCTTTTTCATAAAGATTTCTTTATCTGAAAGGCAGAAGTAGAAAGAGAGAGAGAGAAAGAGAGAGAGAAACACTTCCATCTCCTGACTCACTCCCCAAATGACCATAATGACCTGGCTCAGACCCTGCAGAAGCAAGGAGCTAGGAACTCCATCTAGGTCTCCCATATGGGTGGCAGAGGCCCAAGTGCTTAAGTCACCTTCCACTGCTTTCTCAGGTGCATTAGTAGAGAGCGGAATCAGTAGTGGAACACCTGGGACTTGAAGCAGCACCCATAAGGAAGGCTGGTGTGGCAGGTAGGGGCTTAAACTACTATATCACAATGTTACTGGAAAATGGCTGCGGAGAAATTATTGTTACCTCGATTCTTTGTCTTACATGGAAGAAGAATTTCCAAGCGGACAGCAAAGAGATTCAAAAGTATTTATTAAAATCAAAGACCTCCAGCTGGAGCAGCATGGAGGGTGGCTTCCAAGAGAGGAAATAACCACCCAAAAGTCCCCATAGCATTCTAGCATTCGGGTTTTTAAGTACAATCTTGGAGACCAAAATGTCAATCAACAAGTTGGCGATAAACTCAACAGAAGACCTGATTTACAATTCTCCATCCTTTCTGGCCTGTAAGGGTGGGATAGGTAACTTGTTTTCTCAATAAGCTGTGAGCTCAGGAAGAGCTCCCTTGCTCTTCTCATGGTAAATTTGGAGATTCTGAAAAAAGAAAGTGGGTAGCCTGTTTGTTCTTGCTAAAGATTCTGGGGAAGGAAGCAAATATTTTACACCCCAAATTCCATTGAGATCCCCTGATTATCCATTAACCCATCTGACTCCACACAACAACACGAACCCCATGAATCTTAAGCTATATTGGAAAGCACCTGAGAGGAAGTATTGGTAGTGGTGCAATTTGTGTTCTCAGAGTTCATGAGTTAGAAACTTAATTGTCAATGCAACAGTGAGAGGTGGGACCTTTATGAAGTAATTAGTTCATTAGAGCTCTGCCCTCCTTAATGTATTATTGCTCTTAGCATGAAAGTGAGTGAGTTCTCCTAGGAGTGGGTTTGCATGACAGGTGAGCTGCATCCTTCCCTAGTCTCACCATGCTCTCTTGCCCTTCTGCCTTCTGTCATGGGCTGATGCAGCAGGAAGTCCTCACCAGATGCAGCCCCTGACCTTAGATTTCTAAGTCTTCAGGACGATAAGAAATAAATCTCTGTTCTTTATAAACAACCCAGTCTGTCATAGCAGCACAAAGCATACTAAGACCAGTGGGGAGGAGTTCAAAGAGTTGACTATTCAGTGATATTAATTCCCTTTTATGCATCAGTCAGTTTGAGTTGCATTTTCTGTGTTTTGTTTTGATTTTTGGATTGTACACCAAAAGAATCTTGTACAATACAGCCAGACATATTGTCAGATCCCACAGCAGACTTTTTAGAGAGAAATATTTTGAGAAATTTCCTAGGTGAATTCTGAGGCATATCCTGATTTGTGAATAGACTCTGAAGAACTCTGAAGCACAATAATCCAGGCAATGCATTGTGCTCTTCTACAAGGATTCAACAAACTAATCTTTCAAACTCAGGTAGAGACAAAATAGGTCATGCTCCAGTACACATCTTTACTTTTCTTCTTATCTTCAGTTTAAGAGGTCAGATTTTTATCTCTTATATGCAAATATGAAATAGTGCTGATGGAATTGTGAAGAAACACAGTGATTGCTTAGAGTAAAACAAACAAAAATAATAATAACAATAAAACAAGAACAAAGGTTCTTAAGAAATCAGGACTTTTGTTATCAGATATACTCCTAATGTGCTTTGAACTTTTCTACCTCCTGACTTCACTTTCATCTCCCTCTCCTAACCCTGGAAAATATTTTAGTGCTTTATTCTGTATAAATAAATCTGTGCAAGGGTTGCACCTTCATTCTAGGAAGAATCCATCTTCTGCCAAGAAGTATGCTTCCAGTTGAACTGAATTTGTAAATTTACTTAATAAAATGAGCGCCTGAGCATTCTCTAGTACTGTTTCACATAATAAGCAAATGTTTCTTCATCACAGTTCATTCTTTAGAAGGCATGATTTTCATAATCTCTGTCATATAAGTGTTGTGGGTATTAAAGTAGGTGTGAAATGTTCAAAGAATAAAACCACCAAATCTCTGCAGCCAGAAAATAAAGTTTTGGTTGTTACTTTTTTGCATAAGGAATGATCCCAAAACTTTGTGGCTTAAATAGCTATCAGTTTTTAACATTTTATGATTTTGTAAGTCAGGGATTTAAGCTTGTTGATTGATTATTCTGTTCCACAAGGCATGCATAGAAATCACCCAGTGGTATTTATCTGAAGAGTAGCCTATCTAGAAGGCTCAACAATAATGAATAGTGAAGAGTAACTAGAGGATTCCCATAAAGTTTATAATCTGCGGGACAATTGAAAACAGTATTCAAAGTTGGAATAGAAAAGGTTAAATCTCTGTTTTTATATATCATATGCATTTTAATGATTTCTATTTTTTGAAGAGTTTGGCCTGAAATTCTTTCTAGTGACTGCAAATTTGTTTAAAATATCTGCTTATATTTTATTTTTTATCTTAGAAATAATTACTATAAGATTGTTGTGGAATATGTCACAGTATACGGGATTCTCTTTTTTTGTTGTAAAATAAAAAATTAATGGCATTGCTATTAACATTGAATCCTCTGTGTGTTAAACTTGCAGGAATATTAGAAAATTAATTTCTCAAGGGACCGGCGCTGTGGCTCACTAGGTTAATCCTCCGCCTATGGAGCCAGTATCCCATATGGGCACCGGTTCTAGTCCCGGCTGCACCTCTTCCAATCCATCTATCTCTCTGCTGTGGCTTGGGATAGCAGTAGAGGATGGCCCAAGTGCTTGGGCCCCTGCACCTGCATAGGAGACCAGGAAGAAGCACCTGGCTCCTGGCTTCAGGTAAACACAGCTCCGGCCGTTGTGGCCATTTGGATAGTGAACCAACGGAAGGAAGACCTTTCTCTCTGTCTCTCTGTCTCTCTGTCTCTCTGTCTCTCTGTCTCTCTCTTTCACTGTTTGTAGCTCTACCTGTCAAATAAATAAATAAAAATACTAAAAAAAAGAAAGAAAATTAATTTCTCCAGACTGGCAGGTGCTCTTTAAAGGAACTGTAATGTGATGAAAAGGAGGAGGGTTGCAGAAAACACAACTTGTAACATAGTCAATGGGAAAAACAGAAAAGTTATTAGAGTGTGATACAAAGAATTCAAGACAAATAGATTTGGCAGAAAAGTGAGGATTTATTGATAAATGATGGATATCTTGAAATTGGGTAAAAATGTTTATAGTTGATATTCCTGAAACTTATTTTGAATTTGCTCTGTGCTGTTAATAATATTAGCTGTATAGTCTGGGGAATGATGCAAACTGGAGCCAGTCCAGGCATACCCGTAATGAATGCTTTTTATTTGTGTGAGATTGTAATTATGTAAATTTAAATTTAGCTATAGTTACTCTTGCCTCATTGTTGAATGGATTATAAGCATAGCTGCTATGGAAATTTGAAATTATGTTCTCAGTGATGCATACTGCACCTGTACATCAGGAAAGGACTCAAAGTAAATGCTGTCAAAATGAAAGGTGCCTTTGGTGAGCCTGCACTTTATTTTATTGGGAAGGTGGCTTCATGTAATAACTAGAATATCTTGGGTCCAGAAATAATTCCTCAGAATTTCTTTCATAACTTAAATATGTATGCATTTCTGATTATAAAATTAATATTTACATTTTGAAGTCAGCTTGGAAATTCTGTAGTAGGACCATAAGATACCTGTTACTTTCATCGCCTCAAAGCTACCATTTACATCTACCTGCTCTTTCTTCCATTGTCGTTCTTTGTGTATATTAAGTAACCTATTAGGTAATAATTATATCTGCTACAAATGAGGAGATACAGGCATTACATAAGACAAAATATATAGGAGCTGATGAAGCCAAAACTTTGCCTCCAAAATATATACTTGAAGCCACTATGCTACCCTGACTTCTGAAATACTGAGTGTGTGCATGTTGATCACCTAGTGATTATGGTTTTTCTGGGCATTGAATGATATAATCCCCACCAAAGAGTCCAAGGGAGAGTCCCTTCTCCTTCCCTCCTGACTGTGGCTCATTCAAAGGAGAACTTGGTGTGATGACTCATTGATAGAATTTGCTAGAAATCTGCCCTCTAAAGTGCTGGTGAAGGCATTCATTAGGGAATTGTTTCATAAGAGGCTCTGCTGTAAACCTTCCTGTAGAGGAAAGATAGCAGCCGAGGGAAGCTGCTGGTCACTCTGTATTACAGGAGCCATAGAAAAGCCACAGATAAAGCCCTTCTGCACATATCCTTATCATTTTTTGCAAATTATTGGGAACGCCTCTCAAATTTCATTGTAACTAGGACTTTGGCAATCAATGTACGATCAGCACTCTGTGTAATATTTAAGAAATATCATTCTCTAATTTTTCTGAGTTTTATCAGGAAGGTCTTGAATTTTCCCTCTGTATTAGGATTACCCACAACATTTGTTAATTGGATTTACTGACGTGCTGTTTAATATCCTCAAGTTTTCTACCAGTAAATCATCCTTATATTCTTAGAGTAATCCAAGTTAAATTTACTTTACTAATATTTTAGTTTAGATTTTTAAAAATTATTCCCAATGAATTAGCAGGTACCTTGAGGTCATCTAAAATAATACAGGTATACAGGAGAAGTTACATCCTTAAACTGACATTTACTTAAGCATGAAATGCTTTGAATCATTGGAAATCTTTGTCACTCAAAGGTTTTTTTTTTTTTTTTTTTTGGTGGTGTTTTCTATAGATTGTCCTCCAGATGCAATTGATTTATCCAAGCTTTTGAGGAGCTATACTTTGGCAGGACAGTGTAAGACTTGAGGAACAGAGAGTAAGGTATAAAGCAGAGCATTGAATGATGTCTACAAAAGGTGGAGTAGATCACAAAATGATTGGAGTGTCCTGCTCTCTTAGTTTTATTCCCAAGAGAAATTAACTCTATTCTTTCTCATTGCTATTTATTTATTTATGTGATAGGCAGAGAGTCAGAGAGAGCTTATATCTGCTGGTTCACTCAAGAAATTCCCACAACAGCTATGGCTAGGCCAGGCCAAACTCTGGAGCCTGCAATTGTATCAGATCTCCCCATGTGGGAAGCTGGCATCCAACAATGTGAGTCATCAATGCTACTCCACAGGGTGTACATAAGTAGGAAGCTGGAATTGAGTGGGACCAAGACTTGAACACGGGTACTTGGATACAGGGTGCAGGCTTCCTAATGAGTGGCTTAACCACTAGGTCAAATATCTGCCCCAATCCTTGATTTAGAATTTGCCAATAGTTTGAAATCCTACACAATGAAAATCTTTTCTATTGATTATAATACATATTTTATATTAAAATCTTGGGTATCAATAGGATAGCAATTGGTAATTCTATTTTACACCTATTATACCACACAATATTATATCAAGCTCTGATTTTTGGATTGATATTCATTAATCAAGTCCATCATAGCAAGATAGTATCGCCTAGGAGTAAGAATTGTCATATTTAATATTTTTACTAGTGATTATATATTCAGTACCAATCAGTTGAAATATCAGAATCATACATACAATTGTTGAACTTTTGGCGTAAGGAAACAAGCACCAGTTAGTTCTGTCACTAAAGGGTCTGCCACTGGAAACAGGTAAGACTATGATGATTATATTGAAAATTTTAAATGATATTTTACAAAATTTGATATAACAATCTAAGGACATAATCTGACAGATGAGATCGGGCGCATTCAGGGTGGTATGGCTGTAGACCTAGGGACATAATCTGTAAATATTAAACTCCACTTTTCAAATAAATTTTGTCAGATAACACATAGTACAAGCAAATGTTATTATTTAAAATCAAAGGTAGTTACAAATGTCAAAGAGGGTATAGGATTTGTTTGATAAGAGGCAAGTTGCTAGATTCCATGATGGAGAGTTGACTTTTGCAGTGTTTTCTTATTTGTCCTCTCTCCACACTTCCAACCCACCAGCTAAGGATGTCCCCTCTCTGCAAACCTACTGGCATGTGAGAATTCCATTCCCACAATAGACTTGCTTCACAGGCTTGAGTATTCTTTTGTGGTTTAGAGCTGAGAAAGCAAGCGTGAGAACATATACCATCTACTAAAAGCCAGCATCACTTGAATGAACTCATTAAAGCCAAATGGGAATTGCAAACTCCGAAAATTAAAACATCTGAACATCTGTTAAAACTCAATCTGTGTTTCTTCTTTGAAAAAATAAGAAATCTGATAGACTCTCGGTGTAGCATCTCAAAAGAATAAACAAAGGAGCTTGATAAGTAAAATTAATCTGGCAGATGGTTCAATAAGTTAAGATATGGGACAAGTCTTGGAAAAGTTTCTTTAATTTTTTTTGAAAAGTAAATGTAAATCAAGAAATATCCCAAGGAACAATAAAATGAAACTGAGGGATTGCATTTGCCAGTGGTGTAAGAAGAGATGGAAAAATAACTAAAACAACTAAACTCTTTGGGAAGAAAAGAAGGAAAAGTCAACTGGAATTTACTTGTATTTCAATTATCAGAAAGATTAAAGGTTTAATTTTAACTTTATTTAAAATTGTTTATTTAAGCCTTATTAGTTACAAAGTGCTTTCCCTGCTCTAAGTATAGGTCTTATGAAGTTACTACTACTACTACTACTACTACTACTTCTTCTTCTTCTTCTTCTCCTTCTTCTTCTTCTTCTCTCTCTCTCTCTCTCTCTATATATATATATATAAATATAAAATTTTCTTTTATATAGATACAGTTTTGCTTTTGTTTTTCTCATAATTGCAAAATGAAATGTTTATAGAATGCTTTAAAAAGCCAGATTCCCATAGAATATGTGCTATGCATATGTCAAAATCATGACATATTCCCGAATTGCTGAAGAAAGTATATATAACTTTAATGTCCAGAAATAGCCAAATTCCTAGTTGTTCAAATTATTTGCAATTTTTTCAAATAGAGCCTCCAAATTAAGGCATGATTTGTTCGTGTCCCTCTCAAAAAATTCTTAATTTTTTCATATGATCGTAGGTTTTTAAATAGCAAGAAAAAAGTCATGATCAGTTTTGCATGCTTTATGTTAGAAATGTGATTTGATCACTGAAGCCATTCTCTTTAAGCCACACCAGCACAGGTGTCAAATCAAATCAAGTACACCTGTATGTCTGCCCGCTGCAAATCAAGGTCCTGAAACATGAGGTCCCTAACCCTCAACACTGTACTTTGACTTGAAGCAGAACACCTAGGGTGGCGGGATATTCACAAAAGTTCTTCTTGACCTTTGATTTTTGTCCTCTATCATATCAGATGCTGAAAATAAGGCTGCTTGGTGTCCAGTTTCAAGCCATCTGGTTTGTGTCTGTTTTTTGTGGAACCATCTGGAAATATACAAAGACCTTCTTCAAGCTACAAGAGGCAGCTTTCCTTGTGGACACCTCCACTTCATTCAGTTTCACACAGCTGCTATTTCCATGCCTGCTGCTTTCTGGTTACACATTTCAATGTTACTATCCGTGCTGCCATTTTACAGGCATCTAGACTCTGGGATGGTGTTGACAGTGAACTTCTGAGAGAATCACTGCTTCCCCCATTGCTCTCTTTTCTAGAGCTCTGGTTCAGTGATGTCTGCCTTTGCTCCTTCTTCCCTGGTGCCCTATCCCCAGCTGCCTCCGGCCTCCTTCTAGACCATCTTACTTCCTTGCCAAAGTTTTCTCAGTCCTTTTCTTAGTTTGGGAAAGGAAAGAATGGAGCAGATACTGACTTTAGGTATTTGGTACTTTCATATTGCATTTAAGCAAGTATGATCATTTCTTCAAAATATTTATGTGTTTATGAAG